CAAAATGAATATTTTGAACTGTAGGCAGAGTCAGACACCGATAGGTGGCGAGTTTTCCAAGCAAACAGAAAAATGATGAAAAGTCTTTTCCCAGTCCGAGATGAAACACTCTAGTTAAAACCCAAAAAAGGGTGGTGTCGTACCTTGCCTGTGCTGTCCCCGGAGCAAAAAGCCAAAATGCTGCTACGATGACAGGGGAGTGCTGATGGTAGAGAAATCTGTCCGCATAAAATGCCGAGACTGACTTATTGCCTAAGCGCAGGGACCCTAGCGGTCACTCGGGCTGGGTCAGCAAACCAAGACTGACCCGTTACGACGGGACCCAACCTAGAGAGACCCTTTTCAATGGATTCGGTGTCTCTTAGGTGGTAGTTGAAAAAGACGTTCTGCGTTCTCCAGACGCCTGCCCTCCATGTGTGCTCGAGGGTGGAGCCTGATGCTAGCACCAGCTAGTTAGCAATCTCACAGACCTTATGCGCTTGTACTTGGTGTCTTGGTGCAAGCTTTGTGTCAAGGAAGTTAAAGTATTATAGACCTCTAATACAGTCGCAGTAAACCACCTGGTTATCGAAGTTGGGGAGGCCAGCCTATCCTGCCTGCCTGGGCCATAACACAAAGATACGTGCCTTGCACCCCGTTCCAAATCCCTAGTACGGTTTGGTGGTAACTCCGTGCTTGAACCGGGTAGAGAAGCAATTCCTCCTGACCCTCCGGGCAGACAAAATTTGACAGCCGGTGGATGGCGATCAGGTGAGGATCATGTCCTGGGATTTGGTTCTAGGCAGGAAACCCGATTCGTGTCTTTAGCACAACTTGATTGTCCATAGCGGCGGTACATCATCTGAGAAGGACAATGCATGTCCCCAGCTCTGGCCGACGCCTACCTGAGGCGAGGGCCAGTAGGAAGACTATTTTCCACATCAAAAATTTGAGTGGTGCTGATCGGACAGGCTCAAAGGGCGGTCTGCTTAGAGCAGACAACACAGTCGACAAGTCCCAGTTGAGCGGCTCCCTTGTATGGGGTCTTGGCGTCTGGAAAGCAGTGAATAGTCTCCTAATAATAGGACAATCAGCTAGTCTTTTTCCCGTACGTTTTGAGTGGTGAGGGACAAGGCCCACCTGTAGCCAATGATCACTGCGTAGGACAAACCCACTTCGTCAAACAGGTGGACGAAGGAGCCTGCTACCTGGCCAATAGAGGGATGGTATGGATCAATCTCCCTTCCGCTACACCAATCAGTGTATGCTCGCAGCCTAGAAATGTAGGCTGCGTTGGTGGAATCCCTGTTCGCCCTGGCCAGGACGTTGGCAGCCCCCTCAGATAAGGCTTTCGTATGTGCAGGTCTACTGAGAGCCACTATGTGTGCAAGTGATACCTGCTGGGCTCGTTGGTAGTGCGCCGTCTGGTTGAGACGGCAGGTCCGGTAAGTCCGGAAGCACTGCTGGTGTTTTGACTAGCATTTCCAACAGAAGAGGAAACTAGGCCTTGCTTGGCCTATTGGGTGCGACCAATGATAATATGCAGGTCGAAATTTTCTCCGGTGCCCGGTAAATTAGCGGGAAGGGAGGAAAGGCGTACACAACTAAGTGGGTCCGCGGGGTTAGCAAAGTGACCCTGGCCCAGGCTCCTGGAGTCAGCCAGGAGTGTTACGTACGTTGGGAGCTTGGTGTTCTGGGGTGTGGCAAACCGGTCTAATCTTGGACCGTCCCACAGCCAACACAGCCTGGAGGCTACCCACTGGGGTATCAGCCACTCCATGTTCTGGAGACTGAGTCGTCTTGAAAGGGTGTCGCGAGACTGTTCCATATTGTATTCCAGGCACCAAAGGAGGATTTGCTTCGCTAGGACTGACAACGATGGGGAATGTGTCCCCCCCCTCCTTCTTGAAGGAGACCACCGCTGTGTTGCCTGTGCCGACCACCAGGGCAGGGCTTCCTTGGTCCACTTGGTCCGAGATTGAAACCCGCCTGTCTATTTCCCTTAGGAGGGCTCGGCGTTATAACAAGCGTTATACCGGGCGGCTGCGTAGTGGGGCCTGGGGAACGACCCTTTGAACTGAGGTCATCATTCTGATGATCCGCATAAGTTCTTGGAGGGACACTGAGGGAATGCTGACTAGGCATTTGGCTAGGCATCTTAGCGCTAAGCAACATGCTTGAAATAGCTAAGCCAAGCTTACCTCTGTGTTCAAACTCCATGCCCAGGGACACCAACTGCACATTGGGTTGAGGTGAGACTTGTCGATTTACTAACGAGCTCAACTGGTGAAGTAAATCCTGTGTTAGACTGATGTGTTTGGCTATTAACCCCTTGCTCGGGTTGTTAGTAATCAGTAGTCTGGGTACGGATTGAGGTGTACCGACATCTATTGAAGCAGCAGCACTACCTGTTTCATGACTCGGGTGAACACGTAGGGCGTTGTGCCTAACCCGAACAGGCGGCACCCAAAATTTGAATACTTGGCCCAGCTGGGCAATTCGAAAGAGATGGCAACTCGCTGGGTGCATCGGTATGTGCAGGTAGGCCCCCGCTTAGGTCTAGTGGGGCTAGCCAGTCAAAACAGTGGATGGAGAGAAGAATCCTGAATGATGTCTCCATGTGGAACCGATCGAGGAGCACATACTGATTCAGTCTGTCTAGGTCCAGAACTGGACGCCCGCCACTTGTAGATTTGGTACTATGAACACATTTGGGTAGAAGCCTGGACTTAGTTCCGGCTGATGTACCCTATGTATGGCGCCTTTTCCCAGCATACTGCTACTTCCTGTCTGATTGAGTCCCCTGGCAGTGCCCAACAGGGGAGACACAGACAGGGGGAATGGAGATTGCAGCGATATCCCGTAACAGGATGTCATCACCTGGAAAGGTCCAGGGATCAGTCACCCGCTGTCTCCAAACCGGACTACACTGGCACAATCTGTGTACGACAGGGATATGTGGCCATGGATACAGCAGTTGCGGGGGGGGGGGGGTGCTCCCTTCCCCCGTGAGGTGAGTTCCCCAAGGCCTGAAGTAGTCACTAAGTTGTGACCTGGCCACTCGCCGAACACAAGCCTGCAACTCTGCCCTCAGGGCTGGATGGGTAGTCTTCGATTGGCAAGAACGCCCATGGAACGCAGCTGTCCCCCTTTGCCCGGTTTGCCAAATTCGTGGTACCAGGGTCTGGGGAAGGAGCCTTGGGATCCGGTTGGGGGCGTTTTGGTCTCATCCCGCGCTATGGGGTCTGATCCCAAAACCACACCGACCGGGTAGCGTTTGGTCCAGTGGGAAGTGTTGCCTAATGTTTACCCCACCCAGGTGGCCTTAAGCATTACATCCTCCGCAGCTGACCAACGTCCGCCCATCAACACCGTTTGCGTGCTCTGCGTCCCACTTCGCACTAGGACGGACAGGGAGAGATGTGTCGACGGGGTTGCTTTGAATCCCGACACCCTATGCTAACACACAAACACATGCTTCATGTAAATTCAAAAACTTGTCTGTGGGTATTGTTAATTAAAAGTAATCCATGATTATCCAGTGTGTCCTCTATTATACATATATACTGTTTACAAAATAATAAGAGACAAAAAGTAAAAGCATTACCACAAATGGAAAACAAGAAAAAACTCTTTAACTTGCATCGCTGTTGGCAGTGTTTTACACTGGAGCTCAAAAAGTAAACAGAGAGTACTATTCTAAAACTTGCATTGCAAGACACATGTTAAGCAAAAGGAGTTTTGCAATACTGATCGACACCACATAATAGAACTTGACTACCTGAATAATCTTTACTGGAAAGCACTGGAAAGCCAAGAGGATCAGAGAGAAAAGTATTTTTTTGATTTTATGTTGTTTTTGTCTGCCCAAGGTCATGAAAACCTGCCCGGAATGACCAAGGATAGGTTTGGACATAAAAACTTTTCAGTAATCATTAATATGACAATTAAGCAATTTACCATATTGACTTCAATGAGTACTTCAAAATCTACATATTGTAAAATACTTTATTTTAGCTCGAATTAATTTTCACTGAAAAGACTTTTTGGGTGTTTTGTATGGAATTTATTTTCACTGATTTTTGGTGAGTTGAATGTAAAATATAGGGAAAATGTATTCACTGGATTTTATTTTCACTGAATCACTCTTTCAGCAAAAATAGCGAAAATTAACTCCAAGCGAAAAGTATTTTACAGTACATGTGTTAACTTTCTTTCTTTCTATACTGTATTGTTTGTTCAGTAGCTTATGCACTAGGTATATATCTATGGTCATTATCAGTCGTATTTTAAAGATGCATCATGCAATTAATGCAATTTTTGGCTTATGTGCTGTCGCATACGACTTATTTACCACTTCCGTGTCACTGAGAATGTTCTAGAACCGTACTGTGTCTGGGTGGAATATTCTAGATTTTTTAGAAAATGGTTGAATAGGTAATAGAACACTGTAGGAGGCAATAGAAGGTAATGGAACATTCTAGAAATTGGTAGTAAGTTCAAGACTCATTATGTATGCTGATGTAATGGTCTATTTATAGACAGTATGGGTATATATAGGGGAGTTGTTCAGCACTGAGATCAGATCGGAGATCTCGTTGAATTGTATTGGAGTTTAAGTATCTAGTTATTGGAGGTTTGGAGTTTTACCGCGTTATTGTACTTGATGTTTGCAGAGTATAATAATACCAGTACCAGTTGAAACCTCATCTGTTGGCTCCGTGTTCGTATGTTATCATCGTCGCCAGGGAAGTCTTTATGTTACTGTTGCCATTTTGGTATTTGAACCATCACACCTGTACTATACCAATTACGGTAATATTACGTTGCGTGTGACATGTGTACTTCTAATGAAACAAATACAGTAAATCTTGGCGTTAATTAACTTTGGAACTAACTTGTCTACAACGAATGTTGCCCTCATATTTACTTGTCCCTGGCTATATGACTATAATGTACAGTCCTTTATATCCTACCACAAGCTGAGGAAATACATTATTGTATTGATGAGATTACTAACCATTCCAAGACCACTTGCCAACCTCCATGGTTGTGTACTCATTCCTTTATAAATACATAGTAAACCATTCACATTACCAACAACAAACTCATTTATCTGAAAAAGAAATAGCAATGCAATAACGGTGATTTCTACCCATCTGATAACAGTTAAAATCAGATGACACAAAGACAATACATGTACCTTTACGTAACATGGAAATATTTTTTATAACCCTTTTAATAACTGATTGATATTCTATCAACACAAACTTACTTCATTCGTCTTTGTGAATATTTATAAATTTCACAATACAAACTGAAACAGTTCTATCTAACATTGGAACATTATCACAGTGACTTAATTGGCTGGTTAGACTTAAATTATAAGTATTTTATACACATAAAGGTAATGGGTTTGTTGTTTTTTAGTAATTGTCATATTAGTTAATGCTGTTATGAATGTTTTGGGGAGATTTGATATCAGTTTTGATAGATAAATTTGTATATCTTCACAAAAAACTAAGGAATGCCATCTATAAAATCAAGATTGGAAATAATATTGTCTCTTAATTTGAAACCGTAGAATATACTTGGATAAAGACATTTTACATTATATCTCCAGCACTTCTAACCCATTTTGGCCATTTCAAATTGGTAATTATAACAACATTTAATATATGACAGCTTGTCATCATCCAGTTGTTTAACCAATATCTAACAATACGAGACAACATAAGGGTTCTCAGCAGAAATCTACCAATTTCGTCAAGTGCAGTGGCATTACAGGTATTATAACCAACATTTAGTATATACTTTCAGTATTTAACTTTATTGTATTATGAACAATATCCCTATTAAGGATATGTTTATCAATAAATTATTACTTGCAAAAAGAGGTATGGACTTTTTCAACATTTTCTCCAGCATGGAACCACCAAATTTCGTAATCATAATTCAATATTGGTACGATTTTTATGTCAAAAATCTTCAGGACAATATTAATTTTAATATTCTTACCTGCATGACTTACCAGAGCATGCTGAGCATGTTTCCATAAACTAGATGATGAAAGTGTTATAGCCAAATAATTAAAATATAAGACAACTTCTACCCTTACACCATCGATATACCAATGCTCATCTGATTTAAGTCTACCCTCGTTTCTAAACACTATAATTTTAGACTTGTTTGCATTGATTTTAAGCTTCCATTTTTTACAGTAAACACATAATTTATTTAACTGCCTTTGCAACCTGATTCTACAACTACAAGGAATGAATAAATCATCGGCATAAAGCAGATAAAGTAGTTTCAACCTTCCCAAATATACCTGGTTGTATAACCCACTTCCCAGTATATCGCCTATATCACAACAACAATCAGTTAAATAACTGGTGTGGATAATATACATGATTACTGGATGGGGGATGATAAAAGTGTGAAGGGAGTTTTAGAAAAAATAGAAGATGATTATTCTAAAAAGTGGAAGAGTGACATTAATTTAGGAAAATCTGATTCAGGAGAGCTCAACAAACTTCGCACCTACAAAGAGGTTTAAAACACACTTCAAAATGGAGAAGTATTTGATGGATGTGAATAATTCAAAATATAGAAAATATATTTGTAAATTTAGAATTAGTGACCATCAGCTTATGATTGAGAAAGGGATAACTCAGTTGAGGATGAGTTACCATTACATTATGGACTGCCCACAGCACAATGAAATGAGGCAGATACTTTTTACAGACTTACATAAAAATAATCCTAATTTTACTTCAATTGATCATTCCGATAAATTTATTTACATTATGACAAACTGCCACATTAACCTTGGTGTGTTTATAATGCAAACAGGTATGTATTAATAAAACACCTGATTCTGTACTACCTTGTAATTGCCTTTTAATTAATCTGTTATTTTATTCTTTTGATTATACTATGTTCATCTTCTATCGAAAGAATAATGTCAATAAAGTTATCTTGTATCATTAATGAAAAGATTAAATAAAAAAGGAGACAATGTGGAGCATTGCTGTACACCATAAGTACAATTAAACAAGCAGCCTCTCGGCTGAGATAGCTCCGCTGTTAGCAATGCACATTTCAATTAAAGAACAGAAGATATCATTAGAAAATGAACAATATGCATAGTATCAATGCTATGGGACTTGCTGTTTTCAACATGAATTCAAAAATATCATTTTTTACCATAAATTATTGTGGTTTTTAACAAGAAGTCGAAAATATCATTTTTTACCAAAAATGACAAAAATATTCATCAAAATTAGAGAATTGAAAAGATCATCATGAAATGAACAAATTTGAGAGTGGTCCACATGTAGTACATATATATGTAATATCAAAGCAATTGGACTTGGGGTTTTTAACAAGAAGTCAAAAATATCACTTTTACTAAAAATGACAAAAATATTCACCAAAATTAGAGAATTAAAGATATCATTACAAAATGAACAAATCTTAGAAAGGTCCACATGTAGTACCTATATATGTAATATCAAAGCAATTGGACTTGCGGTTTTCAACAAGAAGTCGAAAATATCACTTTTTACCAAAAATGACAAAAATATTCACCAAAATTAGAGAATTGAAGATATGATCATGAAATGAACAAATCTGAGAGAGGTCTACCCAAGTTAAATATACACCAAGTATCAAAGCATTCAGGCTTGTAGTTTTCAAGAAGAAGTCGAAAAAGTAAAACATTGACACAGACGACGGACGCCGAACGACAGACGATGGACAACTACGACGGACAATCACTCATATGATAAGCTCCGCTCAACAAAGTCGACAGCGGAGCTAACAAGTTGGTGATATCGGCATGTGTCTTATTTAGGAAGGTTGAAACTACTTTATCTGCTTTATGTCGATGATTTATTCATTCCTTATAGTTCTTGGATCAGGTTGCAAAGGTGTCTTAACATAACCAAAAAAGAAATGTAATATTTTCTTTACGGTGTCAATAAAGCACTATTCTATTCTTCTATTCTAATACACAACTTAACATTGCTTTTAAATGTATAGCTTTTAATACTTTGCTATTTATATTAATTTTGAGAAGTTTATAAAACATTGCATTGTGGTCTTTAAAGCGCAGTGGTCAAATCAAATTCATGCTTTTATGAAATGCATAGTATATTAATTGGTATGTGACATGCAAAATATCCTATTAAGTCTGAGTCAATTTAGAAAAAATAATTGTTTTGTGGAATCGTAAAAGTTAAAGTGTATATATTGTGTATGTATCTATGGACGTCGATATCATCACAGTTCCTCTATTTGATAGAGGGACTGTGATATCATATAAAGAACTACAGTGAACTACCTGGTCGTTGTCAATATCTCCTAGAGCAAGTGCATGTGTAAACAGATTTCCTGGTAAGTCTATTTCCAGTCTTTGTACAAATGAAACAGACCTCATATCGAGGCAGTCACTGGTGAGCCGTTTTCCGAGGTTCAGAAAGTTTTTTTTTCCGTGGTGGGCACCCAATTTGACTTTACACAGGCCCACTTCGGGGTCAACGAAAACAAGCCTTGTGAAGAGCGCCACCTGTGGTGACATAATGGCGGGCCACCATCTTTTTGACCTTTGACACAAACTACGCCACTTCAAATTTCCCGACGAATTCGTAATCTCATTCAACTCATAATCTTACCAATATTTACAACGTCGTATACGTTACTATACTCGATCCAGTACATACTAAACTGCGGCCAAGATTCCCGTGTTAGTGTCTACATCCGGTCGAAGCATCTCGCGACCGACGAGATTTAGATTCCGTTGTTGATATTTCGATTGGCAAATCAGGTTAGTAAAATCTTTTCTGTGACCGCGCTTTGAGACGTTTACGGCTCACATCATTTAGAAAACTTGCGATTCAGGAGTGGCGGTGCACCATTCAAATAGTTTATGTTTTGAAAGAACAGGTGTTTTGATTAAGATAACCTAGCGGTCTCGCCGCCGCCTGACCTTTGTGTAGCACGTTTGTAACAATGACTATAATATAACTGCCTGCATCTACATATCCGTAACATCGGTAGGTAAAACAGAGAACAATTGTGATAGCTATGTGATTCGTTGATTCACTGTGGTGCATAATTACCACACGACAAACGAAATAACAGTACAAACGAACAAAACAACGCCACCATAACAAACCCAGACCAATGCACTGTTGTACTGTCTGCATTGCAGCCAATCTGTAGTCACTGGGAGCCCGGACACTGTAATAAATTTGCATGATCTGCCTAGTTCTTTGCTTGGTCCACAGCTGTTATCATTTCAACCAGAGGTGTTAATTTTGTAAGCTAACACCATGCAATATGCACCATGGAGCTTCTTATTTACCTTTGTGCTTGTACAAAACAGTGCATACTCATATATAATTGTGGTTTATTTGAATGACCTACACAATGTAGTTATTGCACAACGTTTGCCATAATGTGCCCTGTGGGTTTAATAGACAATAATAACATAACACAATGTGAAAAAAAACAAGGCGCCCACAAATTAAAAAAGCAAAAAAAAAACCTTTGTCACAGTCCCTCTATCACTGTGCCTTTGTGATACGGCTGTGTGGCACAGCATATCCAGTAAACTGGTGCAGTCGGGGCGAGTAATTTGTTTTTTTAGTTTAAATAAAATAAAATAAAAAAAAAGCGAAATGGAGGTGTTAGTGCAAAATCTCCTGTAACTGCAATATCACCCCGACTGGTTTATTCTGCATGGCCCTCTATGGACACTGCAGGAACCCGTCGATTTTTCAACAGGTAATTATGTTAATGAGTGTTCAAATTGACAACCATCTAAGCCAATCACAACGTCTCTTCAACTGACCTCTGACCGAGAAGATTTTATTTTTAATTCTACGACTAGTACGAGTTACTTTTTTACATATTGTGATGAATTAGAAACGATGACTACGACAAACTCGAATTTCAACGTGCCGCCATATTGGGTCTGCAGTGTGACATTTACCATGTTGACCTTATTATGCACATGTTTCAGCGCCCACCTCATTCTAATATGTGCTCATGAATATTTAATAGCAATGAATTTCCTGCAGAATAAACCAGTCGGGGTGATTTCGTGCTAACACCTTCATTTTGCGATTTTTTGTTATTTTATTTAAACTACAAAAACAAATTAATCGCCCGACTGCGCCAGTCTACATATCCAGTTGTCTGATGCCCCAATATACAAGAATATATGCGTGACTCATATTACATAAAAATCTTAAACATGAACGCGCATACATTTTTTATGTATTGTTGTCGGACACAAAATATTTCACTGTGCAATTTATTTAATTCAAGGCACATTTGTACTTTTTAAATTGTTGGGAATGTCATATATTAGATTCAAGATGCATACTTGACTTTTTGTCCGGACAAATTTTTTGACGGTCAGCGAAGACGACAGACCCTGCTACATTTTTTATTACCAGTATCATCTTATCATACCCACCCATTGTCACCCATGCCCGGCACATCTTTCAATGAACTAATCTAGGCCAGTACCCATGGCTAGAATCGTCTTTATTTCATCAAAAATGGGGTGAAAATCATCTAATTTTCCCTCTTGTAACTAAATTAACAATCTCGCCTCGCAGGACCTAGCTCACCCTTGTTGCTGCTGAAAAAATAAGGATCAATCAAGTTTATAAGCCATTAACACTCACTCGGGCCGTTCCACATCATGGAGTGTCGACAACGCCTGGACAAACAGCTCACGACATATAATCTCTTATTAGCTCCATGATATCACTCACATCATCAACTTTGTAATTACATAAACATACCTAGAGATTGAACAAACAACACCTTGCATTTGCGTAAGCACAAAAATCACATTGACATTGCTTCAAACTTGTAAATTAACATCATAATTGTATCATTGATATATTCATAGTTGTGTGCAACATGAAAATAATGCACCTCAGGTGTTAAGATTGTCGAAAAAAAAGTGATTTTGTGGAGCAAGGAGATGTTTCTCGCTTGATTGTCATTTGTATACTGAAAACTGGTGGCCATTGTTTTTATATTTATACACCCAAAACCAAATAAATTGATTTGTACTATACTACATGTATGTATTATTATTTTTTCTGATAATTAGTAATAATCAATTTATTTAGATTTTCAGTCCTGAAGTTTGTTATTTGCACAAATCAACATATGTTATATTTTATTCAACCTAAAGTTGAATTAGATGAAATGAAATTAATTAGATACAATGTACATGTATCTATCACAATAGCTTTGTTGATGTCTTAAACCACCAACATTTGTACATATATATTGCCAAATATATGTTGATGACAAGGTTTCATATTTGTTCATTACTTTCTATTTTCAGATCTTGGTGGCTCACTTCTATGGTGGAAATAAAAATTGGAAAATGGATTCCCTACGACTTTTATGGAATGAATGAACATACTTTGCTCCTCTTAAACTACCATGTTTAGCAAGTTACAACTGAAGTCAACTTTCCCATCTTCAATATGATGACAAACAGAAGGATCAGAGTACTGGACAATGCTCCAAGACCATTCAAATGTACTTTATGTCCGCAGGCATTCAAACAAAAAGGCCATTTGGTACAACACTTGAGAATACATACTGGTACAAAACCATATCGCTGTGAGTTATGTGGATATGCCAGTACAATCCGTGGAAACTTAACAGCTCACACTAAGCTTCGCCATAACAACACTAATGCTAACAAGAGGACGAGACTTCGGTGTCCACATTGTGGTCTGTATTTCAAGTTTATTGATACTTTACAAGTCCACATTGCAAGTAGACATTTTGGTGCAGTTAATGCAGGTAGACAAAATGATAATCAAACTATACCTCCAGTGTCGAGTGGGTTCTCATCGCCACAGGCAGCTCAAAACAGTTTTGATAGAAATGTTGATATGCAGCATATCAACACCACCCGATCAGATGTGATGCCAGTATCTATAGCAACCAGTGCACCAACTCTTAGCAGTGACAGTGTTATTTTCCAAAACCAACCTGCTGTTCCATCAATGATGTCTGTGCAGCAGTGGGAAGTCATAGACAATGGCAGCATTGCAGTGCGAAACGACATGATGGATGGGGCAGCCAGCAGTTCACAAAGTGCTAATGAAAATCCTGTTACGCAGACAGACCAGACATCATCAACAAGTTTCAGTGCAGATAATGGAGCACCTGGTAGTCATGGTAATGCAGTGCAGGAGTATGATTTGACTGTTCCTTCAGGGGATGTGACTGATGAGACAGGCATAAAAGTAGAAAACCAAAGTTTCACTGATTGCCAAAAGGAGAGCAAGGTTTCCAATTCTGAGGCGAGCATTGGATTCTCTCGAACACCCATGCAGCAGAAATTGTTGTATGCTGCTCAGGTCAGAACTGAGAAAGACAAAGTTACAACCGTGGATGATGACAGTAGTGCAACTGATGCAGGTACCAGACAGGATAGCTTGGAGATTGCAATGGATACTGGGTTTGTAAGTTCTTTCAATACCTCTGAAGCTCATAACAATCAGGATGTTGAAGAAATAAGGACTGTTAATTCCGTAATTTCTCCAAATGCTGTTGAATGCATTCCCTCAAGTTCTAACAGTCAGTTAAATATTGCAGCAACCAGTAGTGTAAAGAGAATCAGGAAATCTAGGAGGTCTATAACGTCTTCAAGCCCTGTATCAGTACCTCGAGGAAACAATTTATCCATGGTATCTTCCCCTACCATGAGATCTACCCATAGTCCTTCATCGCAGCAAAGTATCAACAGTCCTGGCATCAACACTACAGTTCATATGTTCAATCAGTCAGGTCTGAGTCCCTCAAGTCCTTCCAGTCATGCTGCAAGTCCATCAAGAAGGTCGTCCCTGATGAAATTCAAGTTTCAAAATAAGGATTCACTGCTTTGTGAATTTTGTGATATTGTTTTCAGCGATACCATAATGCACACCATACATATGGGATGGCACAATCATCAAAATCCATTTCAATGCGGTGTTTGTGGCAAGGTGTGTAGAGACAAATACGACTTCATGTGCCACTTTACTCGTGGTCATGACTCTACGTGACATTTTATATATGCATAATTCTGTGTTTTTTTAACTGAATATGAAGTACATGTATTGTGTTTTACAATTTATAATGTTAAATTTATTTAGTACCTGTTTGCCAATGTATTTGTGTATGGATCCACAGCAGGTTTTCAATTAAAAAAAAATTAGAGATTTTGACTAGATTTCAGTATAGAGCTTGTTTCATATTTCAGAACATTTACTGTATCTTTTTAAGCTTTAGTATATCTTGTGCTATTGTTATTGTCTCTCAGTGTTTGGTTATTTGTATAATGGACAAGGATTCATCAAATATAAAGAGTATGCAAATGATATGTGATTAAGATTGCAAAATGTTCATATGTTTCAGAGAAACTGATTAGGCAGATCAGTAATTCTGCAAAACTTATGTTAGTCTTGGGTTGTTTCTGCCAATGTTCGTGCGTATTTGCAAAGCATGTATTGCATGTTTTTTTCGCAATTTCTGTTTTCCCAATCAAATATCTCGAAATGTCCACTACATTCTGTGAAGTCGTAACATTGATCAAAATACATACATGCATATGTTTGAGTGATACATGCTTGTAACTCATGAGGTCTTTGTCACATATCACCTTACATAGATCATTTTATACTCCCATCTGTCAATTCCTGGCATATTGCTTGATAACAATCCTTTTCTTTGGTAACTTCTCAGGGAATTAGATTATAGAGACAGTTTATGCCGAGCATAAATGTCTCACTGCATGATATCATTAAACACCAGTCAAAGGCTCCAAAGGTTTCCTCTGATTGATAATACTTTTTTAAAGTATTTCTAGAAATAGATAAAGTTTTTTTAAATCCGTGTTGCAATTTTTTTTTTTATAATTAGCAGTTCACTTTTAATATTTGTCTTCTTCAATATGTAGTCTCTATTTTGTGGGAGTACAGTACAGTGGTGGATGTTGGACATGTCCATCTTTTTTTTCCTGTATTAAAATTTCTTTTTTTCAAATATTTTAAGAATAAAAAAATCTCTTCTTACTTTCATGGTATCTTGTGTATGAGTTTAACATACAATCCAGAGGGTGAAAACTCCCATGTGGTTTTGGTATTTGAGAACTCGATGGATGTGTTAACTTAAAACAGAATGGCTAACAGCCAAACGTATGATCAGCATCTTCTAAAATATTAAAGGCCCTGTATATATTACTGATTGCTCATCTGTGTCAACTTTCAACTTGAAAATGGTATGGATACTTTGATATCTTATATGTAGACACCTTTGTTTGTCTTTAATTCTCTAATTTTAGTGAATATTATTGTCATTTTTGGTAAAAAAAGGCTTCAAGATGGCTTGCCCAATTGCTTCACCTCTGGCAGATTTATTCATTGCATGACAATACGATTAATTTTAGTGAAATTTTTGGTAAAAAAATATTTTCAACTATACAGCCGACAGGCAGCTAGTGTTTTCACAATTTCAATCCATCCAAGGCATTTCTAGAAATGTTTTTCTTATAATTGATGCTCTCAGTACTCATTTGATCAAAGCATCTTCATAACTGAATAATCAATGAACAAATGACAAAATACCTTGCTAAAAATTGTGTGGCTGCGATAAATATTTTAGAAATGACCATCCTGGTGCATAAAATTATGTCGGAAAATGTCACTAGAGGGCAAAACTTTAATTGAAAACTGTAAACATAAGTATTCCAGAAAACTGCAATCTAATTAAAATTAGATGTAGGTATGTTTTTAATAAAACGCAATTTATAAAAAAAATGCCAAAATGAGCAACCCCACAGTCAAAATACCTCTGCTGTATTTTCAGGGCATCGTCCTCGTAACAAAGTTCATAATGTTCTCTAGAGCAATTTGCCATGTTTATTGTTCTTGTCATGCTGTAGAATACTTTATTTTTGCTTGGAATTTATTTTCGCTGAAGGAATGATTCCGTGAAAATAAAATCCAGCGAATATACTTTTTTTTCATATATTTCACATTAAACTCATCAAAAATCAGTGAAAATAAATTCCATACAAAACGCCCAAAAAGCCTTTTCAGCGAAAATTAATTCCAGCAAAAATAAATTATTCCATAGTAACACAACTATGGTAGTATTTTTACACAGGATGGTTGTTTACCATTGCAATTACAATTGTTATCAAACCCATACCAAGTTATCAAAGCATTTGAGCTGGTAGTTTTCAAGAAGAAATCAAAAATAGCAATTTTTATCAAAAGTGGCGAAAAGTAATCCGTAAAAATATAGAACTGAACAAATCTGATAGAGGTATACCACCATGGTTCTCACAAAGTATCAAAGCAATGGACCTAGCAGTGTTCGAAAAGAAGTCAAAAATATTCACTAAAAATAGAGAATCAAGGATATCGTCACAAAATGAATATGTCAGAGGTCTATCCAAGTATTGTAATTAAACAAAAATAACAAATTGGGGCCATATACCCAGATAGGATCCGAGATTGAGAGAACTACAGATATTTCACATTATCTTTATATCTACTGGTATTTTGGAAAAAATAAAAACAGACACCATTTATAAGAACATGAAACTCTCATAAGAATTTAATAACTTCTGTAATTTAACATTTGATAATACACTACATAAATAACAAGTCAAGGTATATTATATTTCTTTTTATATCGTCCTTACGATGGAATTTATTTAAGTTGACAAAATATATAACAGTTTCTTTGAATGTTTTTGCCTTCAAAGTTGCACTCTGATCATTCATAGAGCTTAATGGGACCATTATGTGAAATATTTGATTTGTGCATGAAGTATTATTAAAGGGCGGTGGTCGTCGTGTCGCGTCTTGTTCGATATGGGACTCATAGCGACGTATACAGCGCGTGTAAAATACATTGTTTATTTACATGAAATTCTAACACGCGCTACGCGACGACCACCGGAAATGGTTTACCGGTATTTGCACTTGTTAGGAATATTTGTGAAAGTACACTTGTCAGAACTCGAAGGCAAACCTGGAAACTGAAATAGTCGTCGTTTGAACACGCTGATGCACATTCTGTGTAAATGTATACAAAGTATTTCACACAATAGTTGCAAGACTGAAATACTGCTATGAGAGACCTCAGAATACAATTTCAACTGCTGAATTCAAGTACCATATATGTTACACACAATCATGATAATTTGACAACTGTTCACCTCGGACACATCTTCCTTTTTAATGCTTTATCATACGTTCATAGACGAGTCCTCAAAACTTATGAATAAATGTTTTTTAACACTAATTTACTAATATAATATTGCAAATAGCTATCACAAAGTATTTGTAATTTTTATTACCAGGTATATCTGTGTTTTAAATTTGTCCGCAACTTACATCACCTTGAACCATATAAAGCTTAGCTTGCAGAGGATAGACTTGTGAATGAATGATTTATCGTATTCACATGCTTGGCCTGTCTTTCAACTAGGCAGGTATAGTATACATGTACATGTACAAGGTGTTCTCCCCAGGAAAATAGCAACATATCATATAATTTAGATACAGGGGTAACAGAACATGTTAGTTACCTCTATATATTTTGTAATCACAGCAGGCACAAACAAGATTCGTATGAAGAGTTTGCAAATCTTCCTAAGAAAGTCACTATGAACATTGCAATATAGCAAGGTATTTGTATCAGTGCTATCAAACGATCTATTAAAGGATATGAAAATGATTTGCTACATTTTGTGACAATCTCACTTGGACCAATTCATTTTTGTTTAGGTACAGAGACTATAGCTATAAAGTTGTCTGTTTTCATATTTCAACATTGTTGTAACTATACAAAGAATGTTGTAAATTATCTGTACAATTTATATTTCCGAGAGCTTCAACTGTCTGGGGTAAGTTGATAAGGGTAAGGACTTGGAAGTCACCCATATGAATCTTGTTTGCTTCCACTGTAAGCTACGCCTTTATCCAATGTTATAGGATTGGGGGGGGGGGGTCTATTCTATAATGCTCTTAGGAGAACCCTTGACAGTCTAAGGTTGGTGCATTTCCAAGACGAACATTATTGGAGCAAATACTAAAATAACTAATAACATCAGGTTCTCTCTAGTGAAATAATTTCAATGCAATAGTAACATGCTAAAGCAAATTTAAAGTTAACAAATGTATGTTTGTTAATACTTTCAAGGTGGTGGTTTGACAAGTTCAAGCAGAGGTCAAAAGTGAATTGTATAGAGTGATCGAATATATAGTATATGTACTTTAAAAGAAAAGTCAAGGCAAACGATATAATGCTCCCAGATGAAAGAGCTCCACAAATGTAGGAGAATGCAATTTACAGTCTAGATAATAAAATTTTCATCAGTATATCAGAGGTACATTACTCTGGTATTATGTAGTGCGCCATCTTGATTTTCCAGCAAAGGATTGTGGGTAAAGTGTGATCATATCCTCTGCTGTGAAAAATTGAGAAAATGCTTTCATCTATAACGCGAGAAATACCGTAGCGAATAAGTTCAAATTTTCGGTGTGCATATTACTCGTGTATATAATTATAATAATAGGAAATTTGATATTGCCAAAAATTCAAAATGAATAAAAATCGTTATTTTGTTTGTTGAAAACAGAATGACACTTTTTTGACCCCTTTATGTAGTCAACAGGTTATGTATCACCTGTATAAGCTACTCGAATCGATAAATTGTGTAAAATACACGAAAAATTGAGCATTTGGTATAAAAACACAAAAATGAATATTTTCAGTTCTGTTGCCATGACAACTCTTTTCTAAACTTTAAACCAATTTGAATTTCAACTTTTTAAGTTATGGATGAAATCATTTTTCCAATTTCCAACAACAGAGAATATGATGCCACACTTTACCCATAATCCTTCGCTGAAGACGGTGGACTACATAAACTGATAAAAACTTGAATATCCAAGGAAGGAAAAGTGACTATAAAAGAAACTGAATGCATTTTCTTACATTTGCCGAGCTCTTATATCTGGGAATATGTTGTAAGCCTTGACTTTTCCTTTAATGGTCTATACTAGTAACTAAGTAACTACTAACACAGCAAAACCATGGAAATGTGATGCAGGAAAAAAGCCTTTATTTTGTACATTGCACACAAGAGGAAAAAAATAAATATATTATTTGTTAACAATATTATCTGACATAGAAAGATAAATACGAGTCATCAAACTGTGATGTCATTTGTATATATTTTTTGAAAAGCCTGACAAAACAACACTACAGCACTATGCAGCCAACAATTTTTCATTATTTTATCTTCATCAATGACTGGTTGTTATGCCAACAAGTCACTTTACTCGCACACAAAATATAAACAAGTACGTTCTCTTCTACTGAAGAATGAATATAACAAGTTTTTTTTCTTCTTTTTTTACAAAATATTTGATATAAAATCTGACCATGATTTCTATCAATTGACAATCAGGATCACAAAAACCGAGGCCATAGTCTGAGAGACTGCATAATTTGAGTCTTGCTCAGCTGAAAGTATTTTGAGTTCCATAGTTATAATATCAGCCTTTGTGTAAAAAATAATTAGAAACTATTGTTTCTAATTTTGACTTTTGCTTCAAAATTCAACTCAATGCTCAAAAACCATAGCATCATAATTATTCAGAGGGATTCCCAAACCTTACAGTCTGTTTAATTTTCCATTGGCTTACACCACGAGTGAAAAAGTAAGTAACCTTTATAGCACTGCTCAGTCGGTTAGTATTATTAATTGAACAGTATTGGAGGCATAACACCAAAATGGTTCCCTAGTTTTCAAAGAAATTCTGTTTTATGGTTCAGACTTGTTACATATGTTATTAATGATGATACTATGATATAATCAGGGGGATTGCATCCGATCTGAATGGACCGTTTCAAAGTCAGTCCGTAGTCCATCGTCAATGCAACAACGTCCCTTTTATGAATATATTCAACATATTTAATAATTTCAGTGATCTCTTTACAGAATAATTCTCAACAAAACTTAGAAACATCTCGTAGAAAAATACAGGCTCTAAAATTATGTCTAGTGCAATACGATTCAACCGACAGCCAGTTTGAAGCCACAATTTCTTGCTGGAGCCTGAGTTCTACGCGTGATTTTATTGCGTTCAAAATTATTTCATTTCAACCTGCATGCACGCACACTGTGGTTGCTTGAAATGCATACTAATTAGGTAACTTGTCGCTGACAAAAGTCACTGAAAACATTTTGAGCAATTTTGAGCAATAGTACTAGAGTGAAATATAAACGTGCCTCTGCATTCTCCATGAATTTCGTAACTTGCTATGATCAGGGTAAAGAAAAAACCTGTGGTTACTTTCAACAGTTTGCTGGAGTCTGATCAAAACGTGTCTCAGTTTGTTGATATATTTTTTTCAGCTCGTAACGATAGAATCACTTAATTTAGAACTATCACGTATGCTATCGGAAAGCATTTTGGCACAATTTTACTGAAAAGACAATTTTTTTTCATTGCTCATGAATATTTATTTATGCAAATGAGACGACTACATGCATTTCCACCAATCGTGTCATGCAACCCCCCCTCCTGGGTATAAAAGCAGATACAGTTTTTTTTCAACTCAACTGAAATTGGTGAGGGTCAAGAAGAAAAGTTGACAAGGCAAGTACAAAAAATGTATGTACGGCTTTAAAAAAACAACAAAAGTAAACATTGAAAATAACGCTATACACATTACTACTGTGATACAAATATGGGATTTTATACACGGTATAAAATATTTTAATTACAGAAATCAACTACGATTACATTCTGTAACCAATTGTTGATTTTGTTCTAATTCTTTAGCATATAACGTGTACAGTTTTTTTTCATAATTTATCATATTCTGAAATAATCTACTAAACTGTGTGTAATGATTTATGGTAGAAAAGTAAAAAATAAAACGGGATAATAGCTAAATGGCCTTCTAAAATGTATTTGTGACATTAAAAAAACTTTTACTGCTAAAAGTATGGTCTCGATGAAAAGTAGAGATGTATTTATATTATAAAATATTATTAAATAACAAACTTGGTCGCCAGTTTCTCCACTGTTCTAGACCTGAATAAGGCAGTGGCGGACAGTAGTTGTAACCTCCTATTCAACCATGAATGCGTTCCGCATGTAGGTGTTGAGATCAACCATCTTGTAAATTTGAAGCATGTGTACTTACAATGAGCTATTCTAAATGGCCTCATACACCGATCATGTGTTCACCTTGCATGCTGGGTAAGGGGGCGGTGGTGAGTCATTCCCATCATCCGGGCATTCATCTAATGTAGAAGATGATACAGATTGTCTATTCTGTGTATTCTCTGCGTTCTCATCTGTTTGGACAACATCCCAGTATGATGGAGGAGCATCCTCGTTACTTATTAGGGAGCTCTGGTTTGTCGTTGAACTTGGTGATGACAGGTGGTCGTCCCCAAGACTGATAATCTGGACGCCATTATTTATGCTATAACGTATGTAGACATGTGTTTGGTCAGGGTCAGCATTTCTATCAATCTGTGGTTCTAGATTAGATAAGCATGGCGGTGGAACATAGATGTTTGATCTGGGTCTATTGCGACGTCTTGTGATGGCCATAGCAAGCTGGTAGCGATAACGGAGTCTACGCCGATATTGGTGAATTGCGACACCACAAGCAATGATGACAACCAGAGTAACGATTGAACATACAATCGTGAACGTAACAGTCTGGTAACTTGTACTGATGTAGATGTAATTGTCAGTTCCCTCACTGCTATTATCACTTCCTCGAAAACCACCTACGAAAAAGAAAATAGTCAATTTACACTTGATCAAATCAATTGAAGTTAAAAATAATATTTTCACTTAAAAATGACAAAACTATTCACTAAAATTAGAGAAATTAAAATATCTTCACTATATGTTGAAATCTAATAAAGGTCCACCCTAGGTACCCATACACCAAGTAGAAATTTTCAAGAAGTCAAAAATAACATTTTCTACCGAAAATACAAAAAGCATTTGTGACAAAATGACTTCTATTTGGTACAAAATTAACAAAATGTTGCATCGATATGATGGCGAGAAAAATGAAGATAATCAAAGGGTTAGGAGGGGGGTGAGTTTTTGGATCATGTGTAGGTGGATGCTTAACACAAGGTGAATATTGGATTTCAATGAGATATCTATAGATTTCAGTGAGATATCTAGAGATTTCAATGAGATATCTAGAGATTTCAATGAGATATCTAGAGATTTCAATGAGATATCTAGAGATTTCAATGAGATATCTAGAGATTTTAATGAGATATCTAGAGATTTTAATGAGATATCTAGAGATTTCGATGAGATATCCGAGGCTAATTCTCAATTTTTATTTTCAGTCTGAATTTTAGTCAAAGGGTTGAACTTACAGTCAGCTTCGTCTTGTCCATCACTGCAATCCAATGGTCCATCACATTTATGTTTTATATCAATACATGAGTCATCTGCCTCACAATGAAAGTCATATTTACCAGCACACCAGGAAGGGACTATACTTGCTGTGGGATAACAAATACAAGTCATTCTCAACAATGTATTGCATATTTAAAAGGATTTTAAAATAACGAATACCACTGATACCACTAATTGATAAATTATAAATGACCAAACCCCTGAATAGGGGCTAAAACAGTAAAATCAATTAATCATTCTGTGGCATTGTCAAGGTTGGTGGTCACTGTTTCAAACTTTGCATACACTGAAACATATAACATGCACTGTTACATGCAGAATCTAGTGCTATATTGTACATGCAACATCCACTGGTACATGCTGCATCCACCGGTACATGCTGCATCCTACAGTACATGCTGCATACTACGGTACATGCTGTGCCCACTGGTACATGCTGCATCCTACAGTACATGCTGTGCCCACTGGTACATGCTGCATCCACCGGTACATGCTGCATCCACCGGTACATGCTGCATCCTACAGTACATGCTGCATACTACAGTACATGCTGTGCCCACTGGTACATGCTGCATCCACCGCTACATGCTGCATCCTACAGTACATGCTGCATCCTACAGTACATGCTGCATACTACGGTACATGCTGTGCCCACTGGTACATGCTGCATCCTACAGTACATGCTGTGCCCACTGGTACATGCTGCATCCACCGGTACGTGCTGCATCCACCGGTACATGCTGCATCCTACAGTACATGCTGCATACTACATTACATGCTGTGCCCACTGGTACATACACTATGCACAGCATCCCATGGTGACTTAGAGGAATACATAAACAATGTGTTTGATTACAGTGAGATGATTGGTATTTTATATGACACTATTAGAGACTATTAGGTCAGTTGGTTAGAATTACTAACATGTTGAGAGTACTGATGGCTGGTTAGAATTATGAACTCTAGTTGAGAGTAGTAAATGGTTGGTTTGAATTACTAATAACTAACACTAGTAGAGACTATACTGGACAGTGGTTTGTTAGAATTACTAACACTAGTCAAGAGTAGTAATGGTTGGTCAGAATCATAAACACTAGTAAGGACTATACTGAATGGTTAGTGAGAGTACTGACTAGTTAGAATTATGAACACTAGTTGAGAGTGTTAAGTGGTTGGTTTGAATTACTAAGACTAGTCAAGACTATTAATGGTTTGTTACTCACTGCAGTTGACTTCATCACTAGAGTCTAGACAGTCCCCTGCGCCATTACAGCGAAAACGGGAAAATATACAACGGCCGTCATCACACTGGAACTGGAGGTGACTACAGTGGCCAACAGTCTCTGTAGGAAATAATGAAGCAGAAGCATGTAATATATTTGACAGAATTGAATTACATTCTGGTAGATAACATGCCTATCACTGACGTTCTGAATGTTTCTAGAGAAAAGAAATACGTCAGCATTTTTTTTCTAATTGTCATTGTTAATGATCCAGTCCCTGTATTGGGCGAGAAGATTTTATGGAGAGTTAGAAATTCCTTTGCGAAAAGTAACAAACATTATGAATTGCCAGAGCTTTACATGTAAAACCCACAAGTATTTTTGGTATACAAATGGGAATAAGACATATTTCATTATTTGTGTTTATTTGCACCTTTAAAGCAGTGTGCACTAGTATCAGAAATGATTTTGTGGGGATTATAAGTTAAAATAAAATTAGCTTGTTGACTGTAAACAAGGAATGTTGTAGTTCCTGATTTCTTTTGTATTTACACTTAGTTTGTTTATAATTAAATGGAGATTTCATTTTACCAAATTACAACAGTCAGAAGTTTTTCAAGATCACTATATCAATTTCAATTTTCTATTGCATCAGTGACAAGACAGTGAATAAGCACAACTAAACTATACTTACCATCAGGTTCTTCACAAACAAGACCCTTCCAACCTACAGCACAACTACACACCACTTTATCACCTAAATAATGGCAAACACCTCCATTCAAACACTGATTAGTCTCACAAAGTGGAGCGACTGAAATGAGAGGTAAAAGTTTACTAAACCATTCAAAACAGAAGTATTGTATAACTCAGTCATGTTTGTACAACAATAAAAGTGCAGACCATAATTTCCCTCAGAAAGGTAAATTTAATATATTTTGTAAAATAAATGCTCAAATCTCAGTAAAACACCACAATAATGTGGATAACATAAACATCTACTGTCTAAGAAAATGACAAGCAATATCAAATTACATAAACTAAAATTGACCAAAGTGTCCTCCACTGGATTATGCAGTCGAGTTGTGAGATAATTTACATAAATTAGCATATTATTTAGCATACTGATTTGCATAAATTGCTCACACTTTCAAATGCAAGACATGAGTGTATCTTTTTTGAATTTTATTTTAAATACATGCAATTTAGATTATACATTATCTACAATTTTGAATCAAACATTTAATCATTTAAATTATTCTTTACTAGTTGTATTTATTTGAATGATGCCCAGTTTTCTGTTCTGTTTTCTTTTCCACAAATCTGCTGCCTTCCCCATACGAAATGTACATGTATATCAAATTATTGGTTAGAGCTATATATAAATTAAGTTGTCAGTAATAAATGGCTACAGTATGCAACGATTTTATGAATAGTCACAACTTACCTGGCACTTCGCAGTAGTCACCAGTCCACTGTGGTTTACAGATACAGAAGACAACAACATCATCAGTTCGTACCTTTAAACAAGTACCATCATTTTGACAATCATTGCAGTACCCTACAACATATAACAGGCAGAGTAGTACATGATAGAAATATATACAATGATTTGACAAAATTTACTAAAGCTGATGATCTATTGTCATTGTTACATTCAGTGTAGCATAGCAATGTTCAGCATAGATAAGCAATATTCACAAAATCATAGAAAAGTACATAAGAATGGACGAATTATTACAACAAAATTTTGTCATGATATAACATGGTATCTAGACGGATAGACAAGAAATATGTAGATGACATAGTACTCACAATCGCATTGAGATTCATCAGCACCATCACTGCAGTCTTTATGTGCATCACATAAAAACGTCTCGGGTATGCAGTTTCCATCAGGACATTGAAAATAATTATCTTCACCGCATTCATCTACTGGGCCAGCTACAAAAAAGATTGAAGTATTGAGTAATTTAATTTGTTACTTAACTACTCCACATAATTAACATATTTATACCAAATTAACAAATGTATTCATCAGAATCACAGAATTTAAGATATCATCACAAAAAAAGCATTGATGTTCACCCAGTGCCTACAGATAAAATACCGTACTCGACCGCGTCAGCGCCCAGGGGCCTCAACTCAGAAAATCATGATTTTTTAGGGGTGGGCGCTTACCCGAGCACCCCCCTCGAAAAAGAGTGCAAATGAAAAATTTGATTCATCAAGTGACAGATTACGTCTTTGAGGGAAAATCAAATTACAAAATTAGTTGAGTCGTCATTGATTTTCACAATGAAGAAACAGAAATGATCACAACAAATATGCACATTTTATTACAATATTAATTACGTACCACCAGAATTTACGAAATTAAAAACATTTGAGTCTGTTGGAACACAGTCAAAGTCAAAATTGTCATATTATCTCCACTGATGAAGGTGTTGGATCGTACGCAAACTCTCGATGAAAATCACTTTCCGCCATGATGCATTTGCATTTGACCTGAAGCAGCGTCCTTTGACCTAATGGGTCAAGTCGGTTATTTGCCAATCAGAATGCTGTGTTGTACTGATGCAAACTTTCCAGTAACGCAATGCGGAAGTGAATTATCGATGTCGAAGTACGGTTTGTTGGAATTGATTTCAGCGAATAAACTACATGGTTTTTCCAAAAAACTAGTAACTAGCCATTTTTGAGAGGTGCGGTAGATTGAATATGGCATGAAATATTTACCACATTTTGCTTGTATTAACAGTTCATTGTCGAAGCGTAGTTTACGCACGGTTACCGTGTTCTACGCATTCACAACCTGTTCACAGCGATCGATATCCACGTTGTATCATATAAAAACGATTACCAAAATTCGTTACGCAAGACCAAGTTTTAAATTAGTTGCATTTTGAAGGGGTGGGCGCTTTGCCGAATGTGACCCCAAATATAATCAAAGAAAGCTTAGAAAGAACTCCCATGTGCTGAGAGTATTGGAGACACATTAAATATAATTTGAAATAACTTAGCTGAAAACTAATTATGCAAATCAGAAAATTAACATGAACAGATTTGATTGTAAAACTAATGAGGTCTGCGCAATGTAACAAAAACTCTATGTACCAAGTTTAATTGAAATGTGATTAGAACCAAAAAATTATGAATTATTATGCTAATTAGGGAAATAATATGAACAGAGTTTTACCCCAAACTAATTAGGTTTGTACATTGTCCTAGAGCATCTTTGTACTAAGTTTCATTAAAATGGAAATTAGTACTTTAGATATCAGTGTGAAAGCTTAAAATTGGTTAATTATGCAAATTGGGTAATTAATATGTACAGATTTTAACCCACAATTATCCAGGTCTGTCTATTGTCCTACAGCATCCATGTATAAACATTCATTGATATGTGATGATGAGTACCTGAGATATCAGT